AGAGGACAAAAAAATATGTTTTTTAAAAATGGTGTGTCGACCTTTTGATGTCTGCTGTTTATTGAGCTGTGTGTGTGTGTGTGTGTGTGTGTGTGGCTCTTGACATCTGTGTGTGTGTGTGTGTGTGTGTGTGTGTGTGTGTGTGTGTGTGTGTGTAGGTGCTGTGTGACGACGTGATGAAAGCAGATATCGACGCTGTGATCGCAGACCTTCTTCAGCTCTATGATATGGAGGCCAAGTGTATCTGAACAACACACCTACAAGACCATCACGTCTCTGTTTTGCCACTTGACTGTGCAGTACAAAGCTGAATGTGTGTTATGGTGCACATTGTAGTGTAAAACTGTACTTATATAGTGCTCTGCTACAACTGAGCACTCAAAGTGCTTGAGTTCAGGTGTGTCTAAGGTAGAAGAGCACTTTGTGTCTTTGCCCCAGTTATTCTGTGAGTTAACAAAAACATGCCTGCACTACTGATTTCTTCCAGTGTGGGGAGACATTTCTTTCATTTCTGATCTGTTATTTGTCGGCCTTGCACTGCATAATACATCCTGAGCGCTTCAAAAACATGCTGACTCTCAGTACCACCGATCTCTTCATATTCCACACATCACACATTTTTACTACAAATGCTAGTAGATCTTTCTGGACTAGGGTAGTACAGCACAGTTTTTTTGTTTGTTTGTTTTTTCTTTGAGATTATAGGCTTGATTAGTACCTTGCAGAATAAACCTGCATATTTTCAAGGACAATGGATGCTACATACTGGATACCATAAATATCTTGTATTTTTACGATGCATAGTATTCACATACAAATGCATTGGTTGGATGAAGTATTATAGAGGAATATCTGTAATTTCCATTAATCCATTCATTTTTATTAACTACTTGTTCAGTTCAGGGTCACAGGAGGCCTGGAGCCTATCCCAGCCACGATGCCTCTCGCTTAGGGCGAGAGGCATCGTGGCTAAACAACTTGCAAGTCTGTTTCAGGGCTAGCAAATTTTTACATATTCATGCATTTTCTCCATGTATAATAATGTTTACATATTATGATTAGAAACTATTTGTAATTTAAAGGGGGCTCATTCTGATAATAATACAAATATTTGGGACTCGTTTCCCCTATATTCTGTCAGAAATACATGCACAGACATGAGCAAGCTGAGTAAGTGCAGCTCTGTAGACGGGGAGACGAGGGAGTATATTTCCCACTTCCAGCATGGCGAGAAAGTAACATGTCTATATACCAGGGGAGAGCTGACCTCATTCACTTACAGTATGATTATAAGACTGAGCCTACCTTAAGTTCATGGATGTCAAATGAATAGATAAAACAGTGTTAAGAGATTTTTAAATGGTTCTTTATTCCCAAGTTTTACTTATATTTTTTTCAAGCTCATTTATAGGAAATACTTTGAATGGAAAAGATGATGTTGAACTTTTAAAGTTTAATCATTTAAAGTTAACATTGTGTCACCCAAAAATGAAAATATGGTGTTGGAAATGAAAATAAGATCTTTTTAAGGAAACTATAAAAAGGAACTAAATTTGTAACCAATTTGTTTGGGACTGAGACAATAAAGGGAAATGCTGAGAAACAGACTAAGAAATTCTTGTGTTGTTTTTTGACAAAATAAACAAAAGGAAGATAATGATGTTACAGTGATGTCCATAACAGGTATATTATTCCCTTCTTAGTGCTTTTTGTGGTTACATAGCATGTTTCATTTAGTAAGATTCACATTAGCCACAACAATGCAGCTGCTATTTTCCCTGGAACATCACTACATTTTGCAGAGTCTGATGCGTTTTGTGACAAAACAACATAACATACAAAATAACATTTCAGCATAATCTAATATGGCATACATTGACAATAATTAAATTCATTTGATTAACTTCTACAATGATGAGAAACCTGGCAGAAGTATATTTTTTTTAAATCATGTTCCACTTATTTCTTGTAAGGGCATATGAAATTCCTTTAGTCAAATAATAATACTACTACTGAACTGGAAATGAGCAGAATAGGTCCAATTTAAGAGCGGCTTTTTGTTTGTTTGTTTGTTTGTTTTGTTTTTTTTAATTATCAAGAGTGAGTATGCAGAAGTTAATGGCAAACCTATTACTCATTTTAGGGTTAAGGACTGAAAAATCTCCATCAATACTAAATATAACCATCTCGACTCACAACTGAAATGCTTTGTTTTATCTAAGACTGCTGGGAAGTACTGGAAAAAAATTAAAGCAATTTTTGCTCTCTGTAAATCCCTACTGGATTTTAGTGATGTCTTGATTCTTTAGAAGGTTTGATCATGAAGCAGGGATTAAATTTCATTCTGTTTGGTATATAAATAAGTCCTCAACAAGTCTTAAATGTAATTTCTTACATTTCAAAAATGCTTGATTCACTGCATTGTGTCACCTAATGTGACTTGAACAGGTGTTCAGTTGTTTTTATGGCAACAAATACCAGTAAACAAAGTTAATAATAAATAAAAGAAAATATGTCAACACTGTTTGTGAAGTCACTTTTCTTTGGTCCTCAGTCCTCATATTCTTGTCTTTCCTTCACCAACCAACTTTTTTTAGGCACACTGCTTTTCCCTCTCTGAGGCTGGTTCTGCTGTACCTATCTTCCTGTTAAAATGTAGTTTTACTTATCACCAAGTGCTTGTTCAAAATGCATCACCTAATGATTGGACTTCTCGCTGTTAATATTCAGATGCATTTCAATACTGCAACAAATGACTGCAAGTTGTTATTTAGCAAACTCATATAAAGTTAACCATTAGCGTCAGGTGGCTAATAATTTTTCGCGCTGGTAGTTTGGGGGTTTTGTGTAATATTTTGTTTCAGTAAGCAGAGTAAAAATAATCAAAGTATCCAAAATAAAACTACAATGTTTGGGAAAGCTATGTCAAAAATTCCCTGCTCTGTTTAACAGGACTTGGAAAATATTTAACTACCAATAAAGCTTCATAGAGGGCTACAAATTCTGTAATCCTCATCTGTACATCTTTAATACCTTTAACTCAAATCAATGGCTAGACAGTTGAAACTTGAATTCAACTTAGTGTTTCAACAGTGATTCCAAACACACACCAAAACTGGTTTTGGACTGGATAAAGCAGGCTAATATTAACTTGCTGGAATGGCCTTCCCAAAGCCCCGTTTTCAACCCTACTGAAAAATTGTATCAAATATCCAGCAAATACCAGAGGCTTGTTGATGGCTTACCAGAAGCATCTGGTCAATGTGCAACTTCTCAAGGGACATTTAACAATTAGCCAGATATTTTCCTGGGTATATATGTATACTTTTATCTTGTGTGGATTAGAGGAAATCCAAAATAAATGAAAAACTTGTGGATCCTATTCTTACTCAAGGTATTCCTGAATCCTTTGGTGAATGTACTGGTTCTTATACAACATGTCTCATTCACCCATGCACTAATATTCATTCACACACACACACAGGTGGAGGCAAGCTACAGTTGTAGCCACAGCTGCCCTGGGGCAGACTGACAGAAGCGAGGCTGCCATATCGTGCCAGCGGCCCATTACCAGTAGGTGGAGTGTCTTGCCCAAGGACACAATGACAAACACAGACAGAGTTGAGAATCGAACCGGCAACCTTCCTGTTACAAGATGAGCTTCCCAACCCCCTGAACCACGGTCGCCCCAATAGAAAACACCATAAGAAGATTGTTGTTGTGAACCTACACTACACAAAAACACTAAACTGAGATAAATCAATATGGTGAAATGTATGTTTTCTTCCTTCTTGTTTGGCACTGTGCTTGGATGTCTGCCACACTGCTGGTTGTGATCATCTCTTGAAGATATACTGATGATAAGATGAATATGGAATATATCCATCCTTACATTCTGTATGTTGCCATTGCTGCTGTGTGCGAGGAGAAAACTGAAATTGTGGATACTATTAAAGTCTTTTTTTTCTTCCTTCTGTTCAAAGCTTCTTAGATGTGATATATTTAGCAGATGAGCACCTTACTTTCCTGAATTTAGCTTGCAAAAAAGAAAAATCAGGTCTGCCTGTACGTGTGTGTTTGTCCAGGTTGAAGATAGTCACATGATCATTTGTGACACATCTGAGTCTCTGCCCCCCTCCCCCCCTCCTCTCCTCGTCCTCTTCGTGCATTCTGCCTCTCTTCACGGGGCAGGATACATTGCATGCATCCCAACAGCATCACGTGTCATGTAGCATTCCTCTTCTTGACACATTTTCTCCCTTCTCATCTGTCACTCTCGTTTAACTCCAGCTTTTTCCCCCCCTTGTGCATGTACTGGGAAAAATCTGTCTGCTTCTCTCCTCAGTTGCTCCTTTCCTGTCTTCCTTGTCTCTGTTTTTCTTCTCTCTCTGTTCCTGTCCATCTCCGTACTTATCCCTCTGCCCAAATCCTCAGCTTCCTTCCACTGCTTTTGTTTTCACCGTCTGTCCTGTGTCCCTGCATCTCCCACATTTTTCTCTGCTTCTCCTCCCTTCTGCTGTCCTCCTCCCTCTGTCTCCCTAATGTTGTATTAATAATGGAGAAGGTGCACGTTCAGGCAGGCTCCATAAATTAACCATCAGATGGGAAGGAGCAGAGGAGTAGGGAGAAAGGAGAGCAACATAGATGGATGTGAGAGGAGTGGAAGGAAGGTTGGTAGGTGAGGAGAAGAAGGAGGCAAAGATGAAGGTAAAATGACGAGTGGAGGATTGGAGAGTTTATCTTTGTATCGCACTTCAGCACTCTCCAGCCTGCTTGGATGGCCTCCCCTCTCCTCTGTCGACTTCTGATCTGCTTACACATCACTTCAGCCTTTACTCTGGGCTTGAGGGCAAGTCAGAAGGTCACACTCACACAACCAGCTGTGTTCATGTGCATCTCCATGTGCACGAGTGTTTATATCAAAATGACAGTTTGGGATGTTGAAGCTGTATCAAGCCTGCAGTCTAGGAGCTGAGTGTCCTTGACCTGATAAAAGCCCTGCAGTCTTCAGCTTCAGACCTATGAGATATCAACCAAGTGCTTCTAAACACACTAAATGCCTAATGCACAGACAATAGATTGAAGAGAGCAAGTTTGTCTGTCAGTTTGTGTGCGTGCGTGTGTGCCTGGTCTTAGTATTTAGGGGAGGAGCAAAAAGAGCAGTTTGCATGATTCATCGTTCGTGTAAACAGAGCGATAATGAAAAGATGGATCGGTCAGCAGACAGAAAAATCCATCGTACTGTCAGCTGAAGGTCTGTCAAGGCCTTATGAGACACAGCCTTTCTTAGTGGGAATATAATTATAAAGAAACTGTTCAAATGTGAAGCATTTCTTTGTAAAAATAGATGTTATATAACAAAAACAAAGTGTTCTGAAAAAACATCTTCAGTTATAATTTATTAAGAGTTAAGACTCAAGGCCAAGAGTCTCTAGGCATGCCAGCAGCTTGGAAGCTTTACTTGGATGTAGCCATGCTTTGAGCGGATATGCTAATATGAAAAACCTGTAAACGAACGCTGGTGATCCAGTTGTCAAGAATAATATTCAAATTTGGTACGAGGTGGGAAAGTATATATTTACAAAAAAAAGATTTGTATCATCCATCAGATGATATCATATCCTGAGTCGTCTTTTCAGTCTGACTAGAAAATATGTTGTTGTTGTTTTTTTTAATTCTTTTTTAATGCAAGAGTTAACTACAATATCTACTGCTGAGATGCTTTTTTTTTTTTTTTTTAAAGCAGATGAACATATTTCACTCACTGGATCCCCTCAATTACCTGCCACATCATGACAAATGACAAAGGTTTGTTTAATAAGAGGCGTCATATCAGAATTTTGTGTCTTGTTCCTCGGAGACTTCAGTAGCTCCACTATGTGACTTTGCACTGTCTTTTCTGCAATATAAATTTTTACAG